GCACCTGGATTTGTTAAGTAGTAGCCAATTCAAGGTTTCTGCGACTATATCAAAAATTTTTGGGCTGCTTTTGGAGCCGGAGGTCAGCCTAGTCGCAAAATAGTATTTCTCTTCCCACTTAACGCCATGTAGATGCCAGAGTGACTGCTTGATTGGTAGAAGTTTGAAAGCATTTGTGATATCCGTTTTGCTTAACCAGGCTGCCTTACCAAAGTTGACAACGGCTTGTATGGCATCGTCTGTTTTAGCATATTGTAGTGAGAAGTCTTCTAAAGGTATAAGGGAATTTAAACTTGGGGAGGTGGAAGAGTGAGGTGCTGAGAATTCAATTATTAACCTCTTTTTGTTATTAAATTTGCCCGTGATTATACCTAGTGGTCTTGTTCTCCAAGAAGTGAATAGTGGTGTGGTGAAGGGTCCTATCATAAAACCATACTCTACTTCTTTGTTGAGAAGTTCTTTTAGATTGGCTGGATCTGTTATCGCAGACTGTAGGTTGAGGCATTCCAGTATGCCTGAAGGGAGTGCTACTAAACCTGTGTGAAAGCCTCTAGTGAAATAAGAAAGAGATAAGAAACCAGCTGTGAAGAAGGATGTTCAGTCAAGTAACGTTGTAAATTGGGTACATTTATTGGGGTCATTGATTCCTTAGGGAACAGTTTGTTTGGACACATAGTTTTTGCATGTGCTCTAAAACAGATTGAGCAAACATGGAGCAGTCTACACACGATATAACTACACCCCCCACATTGAAGTTATTACAAACTTGTGCTTTCCCAAGAAACACTGTAGGCCTCCCTAATTTGTCTTTCACTTCCCTCTGACTTATGTTAGCAAGGTAGTCTGGAATGGCGTTATTAGTAGACGGACCGTCTATATTACTAGGACAAAAATTTGCTGTATGAGAAGCTGAAGAACATATTGCACACGCTGGTGTTTTAAGCCCCGTGAAATGTCTACAGAACAATTCTGTGTCCAACTGACTCCAGTCAGTAGGAGTATTGTATTGAGCCAGTGACGCGGCTGATCTGGCCGAAAAGGACTTATGGTAGTCGTAGAACGCGTAACCCCCATATTTGTAAGCTAATTCCACCAGCTTGTGCAGATATAGATCCAGCTCTTCTCTACAGTGTGGGAAGGAAGAACAAATTACATCCCTATATAACCCAAAAGCTAACACGAATTCAGAAATATTCAGCTTCTTATAAAGCCTGGGATCTTCTTATAAAACCTAGGATCTTCCAGGTGGTCTCTGTTCGTTTCCCGAACGGCTGGGACAACCATACTGAGAGCGGGGTAAACACAAAAAGAATTCAGCGCTAGTAATCACAAAATTAGTCAAGGTAGGCAGCAACCCAAATGAAGGAAAAACCCTCGGGTCCTTCGGTGGATAGATACAAAAAGATATGGAAGGGCTGCGCCAAATAAGGGTAGATAGTCCAGTAAAGTATTGCTAGGGTGCCAATAGATGGTCTAGGATACTTGATAGAGTTCCTCTGTGGATGCGTCTAGTGTAGACCGTTCCGTATATGTAAATACAAGAGAGGTAGAGGCGACTAATGGTATAGTATGAAAGTTCAGGGTGTGATAGGTAACAAAAAGTAAAGAACTCACATTCAAGAGAGCTATGGCCAGCTCTGGTGTAGATTGCGTACAGCGGTATAATCCCCGCTTATGGGATATGTAGGGAGGGGGTCTCCGTCAACACCGTCTGGTAGTCCAGAACTCGGAAAAGAAAGACAGAAAGCAACAATAGTGCTCTCAATTTTGATGTGGTTCAATGTGCAGATAAGAAGAGGTAAAAAACTCACATTTGAGGGAGCTATGGCCAGCTCTGGTGTGGATAGCGTACAGCGGTATAATCCCCGCTTATAGGATATGTAGCGGCGATACGTCCGTCAGCACCGTCTGGTGATCCAAGGCTCCAATATAGAAGAATAAAAAGCAGCAATAGTGCTCTCAATTGTGATAGGTTAAGAGAGTAGTAGAGAAAATAAAATAATACTCACAAAGATAGAGCAGAGGTACTGCTCTATGGATAGGCACTGGTGGTATGATCCCCACCTAGGATTTCTTGGAGTACTGGAACTTTAAAATTGCCAGTGGAAGTAAAAGTAACCAGGAAAGGTTAAAATGCCAGGAATAGGTAAAAAAAAGTTGTTTAAAGTGCATAAAGAGTGCAATAAAAAGAGGATTGGTACAATAAAGTAGCCAAAAAACTTTTATTGATCTAAAATACACAGTAAAATACAGAATTAATAACCATAAACGCATTTCACCATAAGTGGCTTCTTCAGAATGGGATAAAAGTAGTAACCTGGCAGGGGTTGTTTAAATAGGGCTATGTTAATTTGAAAATTGCCAAAAGTGTAATTGGCCAATCAGAGACAATTTTTAAAATCACTTTTCAAAATTAGGATTCAAGAGTATGGGAGTGATGTTATAAAGGTGATGAGTCCATTTAAATTATTTAAATGTGAAAACGAGGGTGAGAAAGTTGTTTTTTAAAGAGAAAAAAAAAAGAAAAAAAGTTGTTTGATTAAAGTTAAAAAAAAAAAGGTGTTTGATTAAAGTTCATTAAAAAAACAAACAAACAAACACATAAGTAGATGGTTTAAAGGTACAGAGACACAGAGATATATGTAAATGGAGTATGCATGAAAAGGGGGTAATATAATCCCAAACATAATGATTTAAATAGGGGTTATATTATACCCCAGAGTAATAATATATTACAGATGTTAAATTAAAATAATAGATAAAATAAAAATAAAATTAGATCAAATTAAATAAAAGATAACACAGAATACAAGATACATAAATGGAAAGGCATAGATGAAAAATTAAAAATTAAAAGATTATTATTATGAGGGTTGGTTAGATCCAGACATAAAGAATAAAAGCATGTAGATAAGGGTTGTATATAGGAATTTAAATAAAATTAAACAGGTCAAAATCAACATTTAAACCAGATGGGGTAAGAGTTTTGAGATTTAAAACCCATTCCATCTCAGCTTTACCTAATATGTTCTTAATGTTATCACCTCTCCATGGTATTATACATTTTTTTATGCCGATGCATTTAAGGTGTCTTATGTCGTTATTATGTGTACAAAAGTGTTTGGAGACTGAGTGATTCAGGTAGCCTTTTTTGATATTTCTACAGTGCTCACTCAGTCTCACTTTAAGACTTCTTGTGGTCATCCCTACATACTGGAGACCACAAGGGCACTCCAACAAGTAGATGACATTTTTGGTATCGCAACTGATAAAATCTTCAATTTTAAAGGTTTTGTTGGTGATATTAGATTTAAAACTGGTGGTTTTGGAAGGGACGGAGGGGTCTGTGTTTTTGCATACAATGCATCTTTTACATTTATAAAAGCCACTGGCATTGGGCATAAAAGAATTAAAAGTAGGTTTGGTTTCTTTTGTAAAATTGGTGGTTAAAAAGGATTTGAAGTTTTGGGCACCTCTAAAGACAACATTAGGCTTGTCAGGTATAATATTTCATCTTCTTTTAAGAGGTGCCAATGTTTTTTGATAATTTTTTTGACATGGCCACTTTTGTTATTAAAATTGAAAATATCAGGAAGGGGCATGATGTTGGTGGTGGGTTGGGTATTGTAAGTTAGGAGGTCTGCTCTATCTTTTTTGGTGATGGTATTTATAGTGGTGTTGAGGCGGGTTGGTGAGTAATTTTTCTCAATACATTTTTCTTTTAGATAATTTGATTGTTTGTTAAAATCTTCTATTTGGGAGCAATTCCTTCTGAGACGAAGGAATTGGCTTTGAGGGGCACTTTCCAACCAAGGTTTGTAATGGCAGCTAGATCTTTCGATAGCTGTGTTGATGCAGACTTTTTAAAAAAAATGTTTTGGTGTGGATGGTATTGTCTGTAATGAAGATGTTGAGGTCTAAAAAATTTATAGATTCCTTACTTGTTTCGTGGGTTAGGGTAATGCCTCTATTGTTGATGTTGAGGTGGTGGATAAAAGAGTTAAAAAGAGCTTCTGTGCTATCCCAGATAAAAAACAAATCGTCTATATATCTAAAATATGTTACAAGGTTCGTACACCAAGCGTGCCTTCCCCATATGGCCGTGGATTCCCAGTCGGCCATAAAGAGGTTGGCATAGCTTGGCGTGAACCTTGTACCCATCGCAGTGCCTTGTTTTTGTAGGTAAAAGGAGTCAAAAAAACAAAAATAGTTGTTGGTTAAAATGATATTAATACCTTCTAAAATAAAATCTATAGGCAGTTTCCCTTTCCCATCCCCGTCTCTCCCTGTCATCTGTCTCCTGGGTGACTTCCCCGCTGGCGTTGGTGTCAGGGAACCTTACAGACTTGAGGGATACAGGGGGGTCCAGGACCTGGTGGGCTGTCTGGGAATGCCTAATGTCTCCAGCTAGGGCTGAGGGGTTGTTCTCATTGTTTATGTCACCAGAATGATTCTGCTGGTGAGGACATCTGGCATGGAGGGGACCTGATGGAGCATCTATTTTTGTAGAGAGTTCATGTAGAAGACAGGTAAACAATTTATTGTGGTAGCTGGTTCCATGGAATTAGTTTGTCTATGATGTGGAGGGAATCTTGGCTTGTGAGGTGAGCGGAGGTAGATTGAGCTTTGTTAAGAAAGCTGGGACTTCAGAGATGTTGGTCAGGACATGAAATTTGTTGTTAATTTAAATGAATGCCCCCAGGCATATCTCAGGTTGTGTAGTGTCAGCAGCTGAGTGAGGGGGCGCAGCATGCAGGCCTCCAAATCTTGGTATAGTTGTACCTGGGCACCTTTAATTTGTAGCTGGGTATCCCTGTCCACTGTCATGAATCTTTGTTTTATGTGGAAGTAGTGCATCAGCAATATAACATCTCATGGCAGTGTGTTGGCCACTGGGGATCGTAAGGCCCGGTGTGGTCCATGAGCAGGCCAGCCTGAGAGGATTCAGGTAATAGGGTTTGGAAGGCTTTGGTAAGAATAGGCTGCAGGAGTTCTATGGATTAGTTTCGGGTATAGCCCTGATCCGGATGATGTTCCTCTTGTGCCTCATCCAAGCTCTTAATTTGTTCCTTGAGTTTTTGAATAGCTGAATCGTAGGAGTTCACTGTTGTTATTGTGTCCTCTAATTTGGTTTCCACCTCGTGGGTCCACATGGCAAGGTCTGTGAAGCCCTCGTGGAGAAGTTGGAGGTGTTTTTGGAGTTCTTCAGCAACATGAGATTTAAATTCTCTCATAAAGCCTCTCATATCCCTTCTGGTGAGAGGAGAATCCAGGCTGCCCTCTAGTATGGAGCAGCTGTCATCTGATTCATTGTCAGAGGGTGCCACGCTGTGATTAGGCATTTGGTTCTTGTCAGACTGTGCGTGGAATATTAGCGCCACGGCTAGTTGTTTTGCTTTGTGCATACCTCCCATCTTTAAGTGAGGCCGATGGGTGCAATAGTGGTTGCCTGGTTCGGTAAGGTGGCGAGAAGCAGGTGGGGTGGGGTACATGCTTGTGGTAGCTGTAGTTTCAGCTGCAGCGGAGCTTCACAATTATACAACCATCTTTGTGGAGAGTCAGGATCCACCCCTGTAAAAATTTTTTAAATTGACCAATATTTATTTTTTTTAAATCTTTTTTATATGATGACTTCTACATTGAAAATTACATATAATTAATAATTATTTCTCCTTATTTTCATTTCTTCTTTTATATGCATCTTCTAACAGTTCATTTTTATAGCCCTTTGATTTTCTTTAACTCCTTAAGGACACACTTTCTGGAATAAAAGGGAATCATGATGGAATATTTTCGTCATGTGTCCTTAAGGGGTTAAAATCCTTTTAATATTTTTGTGTTTGTTCATGAAATATTTCCTCATTAGTCCAATTTTGTCTAATTATTAGTAATTGGGCTTTTGGGGCATTTAGTAGCCGTGATGAAAAATGGCAGCTGCTTTCATGTATGTAACTGTTTACATCAAACCTTTTAAAGAAGGTACTAAAGTTTAATGCAGCAAAACAGGAAAAGGTTGCTCCAATTGTGAACAAATGTGTTTCAAATAATAAAACCCTGGAACAAATAAAACAAATAAACAAAGAACAAGTGGCAAATATAAAAGTCCAAAGTCAATGTGTAAACTTGCAAAGGTTGAAGCCAAACCCAACAGAGGAGTCTTTTTGTCCTCTTCTATAGGGAACAGTATAGATATACAAAATAAAACAAAGAACAAAGCCAATAGTGCAATATGCTCTAATATTTTGTGGTACTTTGAAAGTGCAAGTCTTACATGGTCCTACTCACATTTTATAGAGCTTACACCAGATCTAGTGTACAGTGATATAATCCCCACTTGCAGGATACGTGTAGTAGTGTAGTAAGCAGTGCAGTTTTCACAGAGGACCATAAGTCCAAAAATGACAGAATTACAACAATAGTGCTCACAGTATACACTAAACCAGGAGTAATAAATATAAATAAATGTGCTCACATTAAATTAAGTAGACACACCGCTAAATGAATAATGTGTGAGTGGTATAATCCCCACCTAGGATTATTATGTTAGGCCCCCTCTGGAGTGATGAACAGGATGCCAGCAAAATAAAAAAAAAAAAAGCAATATAAAAGGAAAATGGTGCAATCACAGTATAAAAGTAGCCAAAATCACTTTAATTAAAATACAGTAAAAATCCACAACATGCTTCACCACATAGGGCTTTATCAAGTGTGTTTTCCACTTGATGAAGCTCTATGTGGTGAAACATGTTGTGGATTGTTGTGGAAACTGTGACAGATCCACCTGTCTTTAAAATACTTTTATTCCCCCTTGGTTAGTCTGTTTGTTCGGTTAATTACCTGTCCGTACACCCCGTTCCTTTATTTTCCTAACTCCCGAATGAACTGCCGAACGGCCGGCCACCCAGCATGGAAGTGTGCTGCTGGTTAACCTCTTGGTCTCAATAGAACATTGTGGTTAACCGCAGACACGGGAAGCTGGGTGGCCGTCGCTTGAATGCCGAACACGAGGCGGCGGCCATCTTGGATGTACGAATGCCCAGCGGTGTTCATCAAGAATCTTATGGAACCTCTCCCATACGGTGGATCCTGTATACGAACGCCATCCTGTTCGGTAGTTTTAGTTCACGAATGGAGTCACCTCAGATAGCTATCCCATGGAGCCTATTCATATACTGAAAGACTATGTGCACAACTTTGGCTCCATGGCGATTGGACTATGTATATGGGATCTGAGCGCCATTCGATAATAATGCTCTCAGATCCAAGCTATCTGAGGATATGTTGAACCCATGTATTTCTTTCAGTTATTGTAATGTTATATAATTTTATGTATTTTCTCACCACGTGTAAAATGGAGTTTGGCCTCTATCCTGGGAGATAATTGAGTAATTCCCCAATTATCTCCAGGATAGAGAGGCGGGTTCTGTACAGCAAAAGGGGAGTGTTTATAGCCAAAGTGTTTCTATTGGCTACTGTATTACATTTGTCCCAGTTTTCCACCAGGTCCCTTAGGGAAGTGTCCACCTGGTGGAATACCACATAAATACCGGGCATGTAGCCCACATTAAACAGATCTCTGCTTAACCCTCAATGCGAAGCTTGGTCTCGTACTTGGGGGTATTGGATTCGTATGGTTTACTCGTTCGGCTGTTTGGTTCGTGAAGGATTTCGTATGGTTCCTGTTCGGCTAATTGGAGCTTTCGTTAGCTGCTTCTCTATTCAGAAAGGGAACATCTTCAGTGGTATTAACCTCTCATATACCTGGGTGTACCGTAACAGAAACATATTGTGCTTATTTGTACCACACCCAAAAGAAAACAGCTTCTTCTCTATTCCATAGCCACTTTTTGGTGCCAGGAATGGATACTAGCATGTTTTAGCTTTTGTGAGTATTTTTAAAGAGCTGCTGGCATGTTCTCACACTGCCTGATAGCTAACAGCGTGTCAATGGTCCATGCCAGCCATAGTGCCTGCTGCTCTCTATTGAGGAAGGCTGCTTACCTGGCTTCATATGTTGGCATAGTAGTAGCAGCAGCTGTACAATCTCATCAGTATGGTGGCCACCATGCAGAGATGCCTGATGGTATGCTGGAGGACCATGCTGAAGTGGTGGTGGTGGTGGGTGGGATTAAAGGCAGAACAGTGGCACTGATGCAGCTAAGATAATGCTGAGTTCTAATGTCTAACTTATGTACTCCACTTTAACTCTGCCTATAGGCAAAACCTGGTAAAAACCTGGTCACCAGTTGATTGGAATAGTAGTTTGCTGTGTCCCTTGTCATTTCTTGTTCTTGCCCCATTGCACTGTTCCTCACCTGCCCCATTGGTTGTCTCCTTTGTCTTTTTAACTTCAGTTTTCCACTGACTCTGCTCCTCTATTAGTCCTGATCTTTGAACATCCTATCTGTTTTTGTCTTGTCTCTTTTTGAATACCTCTGCCTAGGTACTACTGTCATAATAAAGTCCCCTGTTTCCACTATTACTATTATTATATATTTTGTTTTTAATTATTTTATGTTATTTTATGGTATTATATGGTACTATACGATGATCAGCCACAACGTTAAAATCACTGAATAACATTGATTATATCGTTATGATGGCACCTGTTACGGGGCAGCATATAAATAGTCAGTTCTTGAATTTCATGTGTTGGAAGCAGGAAAAAAATGGACAAACAAAAAGATTTGAGTGAAAATGGCCAAATAGTGATTGCTAAACAACTGGGTCAAAGCATCTCCAAACCGGCAAGTCTTTTTGGATGTTCACAGAATGCAGTTTTTAATACCTACCAAAAGTGGTGCAAAAAAGGACAGACAGTGAGCTCATCAGGATCATGAGTAGCCAAGGTTCATTGGTGCATGATGTGAGGGAAGGCTCAAAGACCATGGAGCAATGGAAGAAGATTGCCTGGTCTGATGAATGATGTTTTATTTTAGATCATGTAGATGGTTGAACGCATCTGTGTCGTTTAGCTGGGTAAGAGATGGCAGCAGGATTCTCTATCGTAAGAAGTAAGGACAACAGAGGCAGTATTATACTCTGGATATTGTTCTGCTGGAAAACCTTGTATACTGGCATTCATAAGAATGTTAATTTGACTTGTACCAACTACCCAGAGATTGTTGCAGTCCACATGCATCGATTCATGAAATGATGTTACCTGAAGGCAGTGGCCTCTTTCAGCAGGCTAAAGAAAACTTCCACACTGCACAATTTGTTCAGGAATTTGTGCCTGGCTAGTACCTGCACACATAGGTTCCACTTCAGAGAGATTAATTTTTCTTTAGTTACTTTTACAGTTATTCTCACCCTTCCTTATAGAGTTTACCCTCCCTAACATCTTCACATGCCTTATAAAGGTCTTATTAGAGTACAAGAAATATGTTGAGTACCTGCTCTTAAGAGCCTCAGCTCCATCTATACTATAGAAATTGTGGTACCAAAATTATTTTGGGAAGGCCATTGGAACAAATAGAGCAACAAAGAAAAAAGGAGACTATGATTGTGTTGACAAGCAAAAAACATCTACAGTATTGCTCAGACTAATGGCTATACAGTATCAGTCATTTTTGCAATGTCAGTTCGGAGTTGGCATTACTTTTATAATGATTGATTGTAATTTTTTTCCTGCTGTTATTTTGTAGTATTAAAAATAGGAACCAGGATTAATTTTAGAATTTAATCTGAAAAATGAAAGGAAAAAGTCAATGGGCAATCAATTTACTCTTTATATCCTGGCAAGAACAAACTTTTCCCACACAATCAACAACAATCCTTAACAAAATACTTGCAAATCTCCTATCTCCCACCCAAAGTTATTTTATATGCTTCTGATAGTACATGCTACTAATAGTAGAAAGGAATAGCAGCCCTCAGTATTACTAATCTGTCATCCAATGCACTTAGAATGAGGGAAATGGAAAAGCGTATGCAATGCATTTCACTATTATTATTATTGTTAAAAATAATAATACGCACTACTTAGCAGTAGAACCTTTGATTATTTCTATGTTTTGTTGTGCATTTTTACATCTTTCTATATTACATCATTCTATATGCACTATTGTTTTATACAGACATCCAGCATCTAGTGTGCTAGCAGGTTCAACAAATTTAGTCTATAGTTTCTGACCAATGTTTTACAAAGTTTGTGTATGAAGTTTAAAACATTTTCTGCTATTAATTTTATTTTGTATTTTTTGTGCCAGAACCCCAAATCAGTTTGTTTTACTCTACAAATAAAAAGCAGTAAATTGTGTTTCAAGTTACACTCATAATGTTGCCATAAAACAAAAAGATTATACAATTTTTTATTTATTTATCCTTCTTAATAAAAACATCAAAAACCAGTAAGTAGAATTCCTGAATAAAGAGCCTGCAAAAAATGTGTAGTTAAATGTGTAGTTAATACATTCCTGTGATAAATAATCTAACTTGTGGTTGACTATTTTGTATAGTGCATCGATCATTGAAGAACCAGCTAATTTAC